AACTTAGCTCAATAACGTGCTGCGATCTGGTTTTTTTTTCGCGTCTCTTCTCCTCTTCTTTCGAAAGGATTCAAGTGTCACCGAGAACTGGCGCGAAACGTTTGTACGCAACGGCTGAAATATTCGATAACTTTGAGTTGCAAGTTGAATTACGGCGCGACACGGCTATTTATGAAGATTGTGCTAGAATTTGATCCGTAATCTATAAATAGTTGGATCGAAATCGATTTCGCCGAGTACGAACATCGAAGCGCAACGCACATTCGATCGCTCTTTGAAAAAATGGCAATGGGAGAAATTTTGCAAGCTTTCTCTAGTGTATCGTATCGAATAACTATATAACGCGTTGCAGTTAACCCCTGCCTGCATTCTATTGTCAGCGTGTGCTAACAGCTAGCGAATTATAACTTGGTCGAGAGAGTTATACTCCTGATGAAAAATTCAATGCGTCTTAGCTAGCTACAGGTCAAGCTAAGCGACATAGTTAATACATGGGAACGATATACGATATAAATTGTCGTCTAGACTCTTTTCGCGTTACACTCCAAACTTACACGTCGATATTTTGGACTAACCTTTGGCAAGCCTTGCAGAAGCCTCGCTTGTTGGGTTTTGGTTGAAAGGAGCGGAATCGAGGTGGTGTGTCAGCAGTCAGCGGTCAAATAATAAATATTTCGCTTCGACATTTTTAGAGAAAAAGAGACGCGTCTACGATCAGTATGGCAAGGATGGTCTTCAAATGCCTGGAGGCAAACGACCCCACGGGGATGACTTTAATTCGCACTTCGGCGGCACATTCGTCTTCAGGGAACCCGAGGAAGTTTTCAAGGAAGTTTTCGGAGAATTTCTCAGAGAATTTCTCGATGGGAAACCGCTCCAAGATATATTCGCCGGTAAGTTCGGAGGTGAGGGTCTAGCCAGACAAACTTGCACAGGTGCATAAGCATATGCATAAAGAAATTGATTGCTTTATTTCCTTATGCATGCACCCAATCAGATTCCTTATGCGCTATGCAAGCTGGTCTGGATCGACCCTAAGGGCCATCGCACACAAAATTGCATAGCCGCATATGCATAGCGTAAGACCATCTGGACCAATGAGCATGTTATGTAAATCAATATGACGATTCGATGCTCGATGCTCGTTGGTTTAGACGGTTCTTGTGCTGTGCATATGCAGCTATGTAATTTTGTGTGCGATGGCCCTAAGGGTGTGTTCCCATTTTCTCTCAGTACTACACACACACACACACACACACACACTGCCAGTACTGGACGCCTTTACCAAATTCAGGTTCTGAGAAAATTGTTTCCAAATAAAATCTCAGTATTTTTTCGCAATAACATAACGGGGTTTCTTTTTTAATTCAACTATCCACACCTTTCCTTTGATACTGAGTGCTCGGACCCATTGGGAGTGCTGGTTTAAATGGGAACAGCCGTTTCGGTACTGTCAGTAGTACTGACAATGAGAGGAAATGAGAACACACCCTAACACTGTAGCTAATAATACAAATATATTGTTAATCAATTATTAAATCAATTAGCTACATAAAAAATGTTTTGTTACAGATTTTCAACCTATCGATTTCGTTCTTTTTGGTTCTTTATTCGGTATAGTGATGTATCAAAAATTATGGGGACGTTTATAATTATTTTCCAAATACGAGATTAAAATTTTACCATAAATAATGTAATACGTAATAAAGTTAATAAAACAAGAACAACCATTTAATTTACAAAAAATACTTCCCAATTTTATTAATTAAAATATTTATGCCATTTTTATTTATTATATATATTATTTTATTATATTTATATATTTTTATTGTATATTTTTATTTTATTATATATATTTTTTATTATACAGGGTGTTTATAATCGCACAAATGTAATTATAGTAGTTTAAGCATAATAAAGTAAAAAGTAAAGTAAAGTAAAGTGTGCAAATTAGAAATTTGCACATGCGGCTTCCTCATAGAGGAAGGTTTAGGAGCGAAATCTAATTTTTTTCGATGTTTCTTGAAAGTGTGCAAATTAGAAATTTGCATATTGCTTCCTCATCATTGAAGAGTGCAAATTGGAAATTTGCACATTTCTTCCTCATCATTAAAGTAGGCAAATTAGAAATTTGCACATTGCTTTCATTGTTATGGCTTCCTCATAGAGGAAGCTTTAAGAGAGAAATCTAACTTTACTACGATGTTTCTTGAAAGTATTCAAATTATTCTTATTTCGCTCTTAAAGCTTCCTCTATGAGGAAGCTATAACAATGGAAGCAATGTGCAAATTTCTCATTAGAAAAAAAAGTAAAGTAAAGTGTGCAAATTAGAAATTTGCACATGGCTTCCTCATAGAGGAAGCTTTAAGAGCGAAATAAGAATAATTTGAATACTTTCAAGAAACATCGTAGTAAAGTT